ATTTTTCACTTTAAAAAACTTTTTGTTAAATTTGTGAAATCCAATATTTTTTTGTAAAACTCCGTAATATTTATTAGAATAAACTTAAGAGTATTATCTCATTTATACACAAGGTAAACAGAGACACTCAGTTTTTAGGATTAAGCTAATGAAGGTGTAGTTTTGCTAGCGATCGAGTGATCTCATTAATGCTCAAGTACGGACGTAGCCGTTTTAATTTAGTGCAGTATCCGAAAAAGATTAACTCTCATAATTAATAAATTAATTAAAGAAATAGTTGATCTATCTTTTCTGTCGCGCGCAATAGGCTCCAAAATTAATTAAGTACATTGCATTAAGCTTCCGCCATAATCAATCTAATCACGTACGTATATTTAGTAAGTACTACATACGTCACCCTATCATCTCTAATAGTAATAGCTAGCTTGTCGCCGTCATCGTCGTCGTCAACGACCCATATAAATCCAAGCTTTTATATAATTGCCCTTTAAATTAATTAATTAATTAATTAATTACCGGCCAAGCAATTACGTATATGTATATATATGGCTGCTAATTAAGGTCGACGACAGAAGATCTGATCTTCATATATTTTCAATGAGGATATATCGGGATATTGAACTGTACTTTATATCAATACTCCCTTCCGTCGATCGCTGAATTTGAAGAGTTTAATTTAAACACAAATTATCTTAAATTTGTGTTACATTTTAACAAAATGAAAGATATTTTTGATTGTCCACAAATAAACTTTTCGTTAATTTGTTTAATTTTATACTTTCTCATAAAGTATTTATTTAAATTACACTTTTTCATAAACTTTAACTCTTTTCCATAAACTTTTACACTTTCCCATAAAGTAATGATGTCTTTACATTGTAATACGTGAAAAGAGTGGTCAAACCGTCAAATTTCGTCTCCCAATAGGCGTGCCTCTTAAGTGTATTAAATGCATTTTCTATTTACCAAAAACTGTTACACTTTTCCATAAGTATTTTTTTAAATTATTACACTTTCCCATAAACTTTTAATCTTTCCCATAAATTTTTATACTTTCCCATAAAATATTTATTTAAGCTACACTTTTCTATAAACTTTAACTATACTCTTTCTCATAAACTTTCCCACTTTCTCATAAAGTATTTATTTAAGTTACATTTTTCCATAAATTTAACTTTTTCCCATAAAATTTTACACTTTCCCATAGAGTATTTATTGAAGTTCGTTACACTTTTCCATAAACTTTTACTCTTTCTAAAAAATGTTTACACTTTCTCATAAAGTTATGATGTCTTTACATTGGAATACGTGAGAAGAGTGGTGAAAGAGTAATGATGTCTTTACATTAGAATACATGAAAAGAGTAGCCAAACCGTCAAATTTTGTCTTCCAATAGGCGTGCCTCTTAAGTGCATTAAATGCATTGTACTTTTAGTTTGTGACTCAAGTCTTTTTCACTAACCAATAAAGTGAAAATTTACCTTTTCACTCTCTTATATGATGGGACTTTTCGCATCACCCATGCTCATCCATACGCGATTACCCGTGTCATTAGCCAACATTTCAGACCCATCCATACCCGTGTAGATTTGGGCGGGAAAAGTCACTATTTATTGTCTCACTTCACCTTTGTATAATTACTCCCGGAGTAATAAAATTCTTCTTGAATTTATTATTTTAATTTTTTTGTCTTGATCTTCTGTTTTAGAATTTGGTGGGTGATGCAAATGTGACATTGTATATCAGTAAAACACAATATTTATTGGCATTTCATTTTTTTACTGGATCAACGTGAACTATTTTTTTAAAAAAGAATTTTGGTTCTATTGTGGGAATAAATATATAGAATTCTTATTTTGGTCCCTTATAATTTATTTCTAATTTAGTCTTTCCTTCAACACTCTAGATGTTGCTACAAGCATGTACTACTAGAACTTTTGGGTAGTTTGATTAGAGTCTGTTTGCATTGGCAACAACGTAAAAAAGAGTTGTGTTTTGTTTTACGATGATTAGTAGAGTTATTTTCAAATTGAATAAATTTGAAAATTAATTTAAAGTGTATTTCTCCGAGGTAATAATTATACTTAAATAGTTTATTTTACCAAATAATCAATAAAAATATGTAAAATAACACAGTGTGACCTGAATTTTTTTAAAAAAGGGCATTCTTGTCGAGAGGAAAGAAGTACAAAGTATTATACTCCTCCGTCCCATGAAACATGAAACTTTTGCTTTTTAGGAGAGATTTAAGGGGAGTATATTTTGGTATTGAATTTCCAAAAATGTCATTTGATATGATGGGTTAAAGTATGATTTGATGGATAGATTATTAGTAAAAAGGTATGATGTGATGGTTAGGGTATGAAAAAGTAAGAGGTAAAAGTAACTTTTTAATAGAAATGAGAAGTGTTTTGTAGGACGGATAAAAAAAAGGAGAAATGCTTAATGGGACGGAGATAGTATATTTCAATGTATATTCTGTTACCCGTTAAAAATTACCAACTGTCAAACTCCAATTACCAGACTATTGTAAAAAAGGACTTTTTTTTACTAGACGAACAAAGTATTATATATTTGAATCTATATTGTAGTTACCCGTTACAAAATACGTTCCTATAATTATCAAACTCCAATTAACAGATTTCATAATATTCCGAACTTCAAAATCTACTTAAAGAAATGCATCACCCATAAAAACAACAAAATCAAATGGAGAAATATATGCAAGCATAATATATAACATGAGAATATTATTATATATATTATACCCATATATATATATATATATATATATATATATAGAGGAGATATAATATGATTCATTCCAATCATAAATATATTACTAGTTTCCAAGGCAGCTGGGGAGCAGACTGGCCGGCCGGTTGGGTACGGTGTAACAATATATGGGCGGATAGGGAAAATNGAATATTATTATATATATTATACACATATATATATATATATATATATATATATATATATATATATATATATATATATATATATATATATAGAGGAGATATAATATGATTCATTCCAATCATAAATATATTACTAGTTTCCAAGGCAGCTGGGGAGCAGACTGGCCGGCCGGTTGGGTACGGTGTAACAATATATGGGCGGATAGGGAAAATGTGAGGAAGTTTCTCAAAGAAGGATGCATGGTGACAATTAAACTATATATAGTGCTTCATATGAAGAACAAAAATTCCAATATATTTTCATGTAGAAAAGGGAGTCAAGTTAATTAGAGACTTTCCACGACATTAGAGTCTCATGTCATGGAATGACTCGGGATCGCTACACTGTATCGTTCGTAAAATTGACGGTTTCTATCTTTCTAACCCCGTGGTAAACCCTCTCACCCTGTCTTAACCCGAACACACCTCTCGTCCCCTTCAATTGCACATCACTATATATGAAGGAAAACAATTCCAATATATTTTTATGTAAAAAAAGTAGTCCAGTTAATTACGAAGTGTGTGGTTCCTATGACATTGGAGTCTCATGTCATGGGATGACCTATGACCGTTATGGTGATCCGTTCATAAAATTGACGGTTTCTACCCTAACTCCCAACTCAATTCTAACTCGAACGCACCTTCACCCCCTTCAATTGCACCTAAAGTTAATTTTGACTTTGGAGTCAAAATTGACTCCAAAGTCAAAATTAACTTGGGTGCAATTGAAGAGGGTGGCGAGTGTGCCTGGGTTGGGCAGTGTGAGGAATTTACTAGGGTGTTGGGGATTAAAGAACCGTTAATTTTATGAATGGAGCATTCTGAATCATCCAATGACAATAGATTTCAATATTATGAGAACCCTCCCGAGTTAATTAATGCAATACAAACTCTTGCAAGGGTCCATCCATAGTGTCTCAAGCTAGTTGAAATATATATGGCATTTGCCTGCGAACCAAATAAACACATTTCAGGCGGCAGGGTCGTCTCTCTTATTCACCCCCCCACATCTTCACATGCTTTTGTTATATTATATTCCATATATATAGAGTATATTTTATATCTATCTCTTTCTTTATTTTTTTCTTTCTTGGCCCTTCTCTATTTAAACTTGTTGTGTATGTGTATATATATCAAATTAAACATGTCCTACTACGCCACACAATGAAGTATAGTATGAGTTGCCTTTGAATGTAAATCTTATTGCCATTACCCCATTAATTAGATATTACACTTTTGCATTTATATTAAATATTAAATAAAAATTCTTTTACTTCGAATGTTTAGCTGCGTTATTTGTTCATATTATACTTCATCTGTTTCTTAAAAAAACATTCTCTTTTATTTTTTTGTTTTTCCCAAAATAATTCCATTTTTTATTAAAAAACTACTTTTACCTCTATTTTTTCTTTAAAAAAGTGGGCCTCCTATAATTTTCCAAAAAATGGTTCATCTTTCCGTAAAAAGAAATGTTTCTAAGTTGATTTCTCTTTTGTGTCCTTAACTTTTTTCACTATTTAACTTGTATTACTATCACTCTTGGAAAGCGAACAATGTTTATCACTTTCTTAATCTATGTGTCTAGTGAAATAAGAATATACTCTCTCCATTTGGGACTTGGGAGAACACTTCCCAATTTAACCAAAGACCTAAATAAGGTAGTAGAAATGGTTAAATTGTACGGAGTAGTTGATTTTCTAAATATTATCTTTGATGTAATGGATAAAAGTGTAATTTGATAGGTATGGTAGAATAAAAAAATAAAGGTAAAAGTAGGTTTTTAATATAGAAAGTAAAAATATTTTGAGAAAAGAGAATAAAATGAAAGAATAATAATAATAATAATAATAATAATAATAGTAATAATAATAATCCGTGTGTGATAATGTGGAGTTGATGTGACGTGGAGGTCCTTAGAAAACCAAACATAAATTGCGACCACTCAAAGTCTTTCATCATCCCCAATTCAATTATTTAATACATGTATTTTTTAAAGAAATTATTCTATATATATAGCCCCTAAACCTCCTCATCTTTCAACAAGCAATTCAACTTTTAACTAGCAAAGACAACTATACTTTTCCTCTCCATTCTCATAATAACTCTCCACCATCACTACCTACTCCATACAAGAGCCTTTTATTAATTCATATACAAAAAAAAATTAAAATTAAATGGGGATTAGGAAATCAAAGAAACTTGCAGTGGTGCAGACAGCGATGATGAAGCAGATTCTGAAGAAGTTGGGGAAGAAACACGGCTACGACGAAGAAGGTCTACCGATAGATGTGCCGAAAGGGCACTTTGCGGTGTACGTGGGAGAGAACAGAACGAGGTACATCGTCCCAATCTCCTTCTTGGCGGAACCCGAATTCCAAATCCTACTGCATGCTGCAGAGGAGGAATTCGGGTTCGACCACGACATGGGACTTACCATTCCTTGCGACGAGTACGTGTTCGAAAGTCTAACCTCGGCCCTTGTTCGGTAGTTAATTAATTAGTTGATTAATTGCCGATTAAGAAGGTGATGATCATCAATTAGCTAGCTTTGTTGGATGACTTTTGGATCATGGAGGTGAAGCTAATTAACGCCGGCCGGCCAGGACGTGAAACGACGTCGTACAACCACATGCATGCGCCTACGTACCTTCTACGTGACATTTATGTATGGAGCGATGATGGCTACTTAATACTCCATTAGTTAATTTATATATTGTAATCTAGCTTAAGGGGAGATTACCATATTTAATTAATTAAATTTATAAAAAAAAAATATCAAAAAGAAGAGAGGCTAGGCTATGAGTACCCTTTAATTAATTCCTTGCAGTGGTGATTGGTTGTAACTAATATAGGTTCCCTGCGAGCTGAGGAGCAATCCAGATTGGCTATATATGTATGTACTTCGTACGATGTCATTCTAAATTCAATTAATGTTCTTTTATTCAAATACAATATCCTTAATCTTGATTGTTCTCTCTTTCAAGCCCTCACTAACTTAATTGGTTTCATGTTTTTTTTTTAAAAAAAATTATATATGTGTTAATTTAATTAACAATATTATTCATCGGCTTCTTTAATTAATAATTACTTACGCAATTAAAATAAAAGAGATTGGAGCCAAAATAATTAAATGAAAATGAATGACTAAAGGTAGGCAGGCAGGCACCTACAAAGAGACATAAAAGAAAATGTGTGTATGGAAAGGGAGAGTACAAAATGCGACAAGTTCACATGCCCAACTGCGTAAGTGGGACTGAACCGTTACATCTCGAGCAGGCAAAGTGTGCAATTATATATATATGCATAGACGACGTACGTACGTTGGTTGGGTACGTTTCCATTGATCAGTACGTATATATGTGTGTGTAGTAGCTGTAAAAATAAGTACACTGGTCGGGTAGCCAGTCACTCACTCATCCATATATAATAATCCCTCCGTACCAAAAAGTTTACGTTTAAAAAAAATCGCGTCCCGTAAAATTCGTTACATTTCTATTAAAAAATCACTTTTACCCATTACTTTTTCATACCATACCTATCACATCATACTTTTTTTCTAATAATCTACCCATCACATCCTACTTTTATTCATCACATCAAGAGTATTTTTGGAAAGTCAATACCAAAATATCCCTGCCTTAAATTCCCAAAAAGTCAAACCGTCCCATTCTTTTTGGGACGGAGGGAGTATATATATGCCAATTCAAACACTTAACTCCAAAAAGTCCATGAAGGTTTCATCCTAAAAAAAGTAGAGTTATATGCATATATGGTGTTTCATAAGTGGGTAAATAGATTTACATGTTTCAAAAAAGTTATGTCCCACAATCACTTACTCATTTTTATTAAAAAACCACTTTTACCCCTTATATTTTCAAACCCTATCTATCACATCATACTTTTTTCCTAATAATCTACACATCACATCCTACTTTTACCCATCACATCAAGGGTATATTTGGAAAGTCAACACAAAATAATCACTCCCTTAATTTCAACTTTAGTCAAAATGGGTAACATTTTATGGAACGGAGGGAGTAATTGTCAAATAGTCCTTGCGGTCAAAGAATCATAGCTTAATTAGTCCCTAGCTATATTAGAAAATTCGTAAAATGTACACAACACATGCATATTATGCAAAGGCGTCAATCATGTAATAGTAAAAAAAGCTAATTTGAAATTTATGTTGGGATGTGTAACTTTGTACCATAGTACATTATCTTCCATCTTTTAATTTAATTCTTACAACGAATTATTCGTCTCTTCGATAGTGATATTCTTGAGTCGTAGTACAATGACCTTGTTTGGATGTTGGCTGTCAGCTGTTTGCTGTTGGCAGTTCGTGCTAGCTGTTGTGAATGACTTTTTAGTTTAGTTGGTTTGACCGACGAGATGAATTGGCTGATCGTTAAAATTGTTTGGTAAAATTAGATGTTTGAAAATACTTTTTCCAATACCACGATACACACACACACAATATTTATTTTTCATTTTGTTAATTACATGTAAAAATTAAATCTTTACTATATAGAGTATTAAATTTCACTTTAAGTTAATTCATAAGAAATTTTTAATACGCAACTTTTTATTGATTTTTATTTTTTATTTTCTCATTTCATTTTTTTGAATTTTTGAATTTTTGAATTTTTTATTATTTTTAGTATTTAATTTTTTTAAATTTTATTTTTATTTTTATTTTTTTACATATATTATAAAATATCTTTCATGAAAAATGATTTTTAAAAAATCAATTTTTCCTAACAGCCAAGTCCAGAAGCTACTCCCCTTGGTATTTTGAATTTTGGCTTTTTAGATGAAAATGCCAAGTCAAAAAGTCACTTGCCAAACAATGGTTTTGGCTGTTCGCTTAGTAAAAAAAGCTAAAGTAAGTCAAAGATGTCAAAAGCTATCCGAAAGCTATTTTCCAAACACGGCCAATGTCCTACGTGAGCTTGACATTATTCTGTTTTTCAAGTAACTTTATTCTAAGGTAAAATATCATGTGAGAAAAGAGCTAGAAAAACACCATTCCTTGCCTTTAGCCACGAAAACGAGGCTAATTTCATGAGATAATTTTTTTTCTTTTTGTTACATACTTCACATTTTTGCACAGTATATATGTCTAGGTTCTGCTTGCTTTACATTTTTCTTAAAAAAAGGACTAATTATGCATCAATTCTTTGACCACAGAGACTATTTTGCAACTTTTAAAAGTACAAAGACTATTTATCTAGTTGTGGAAGACCATGAGAACTATTTGTGCATATAACTCTTAAAAATATTCCCCATGTTTCTTAAAACCATATGCATTCATATTTTGACTTCAGGCTAAATTAAGGAGTGTATTTTTGTGGTTAACTTTCTAATTTTGCTCTTGATGTGATGGGTAAAAAAGTAAGATGTGATGAGTAGATCGATTATCAGTGAAAAAGTATGATGTGATAGATATTGTAAGAAAAAGTAAAGATAATAGTGATTTTTTAGTAGAAAGTTGAGTGTTTTGGCGAAAGAAAAAAAATGAAAAAGAAAGTATTTTAAAAAAGGAAAGGAGTAATTAATTAATGTTAGAAGGAGGGACCATGAAACCCTTGAAAGTTGAAACCAGTGGCGGATGTACATTAGAGTAGTTGGGGTCTCATGCCCCCTGCTACTTGTTTAAAGTAAAATAAAATTTACACTTATATAGTTTATGACCCTAATTAAGAATATTAGGAACCGCAATTAAAAGTGTTAAATAAGAAAAAATGTGAAATGTGAAAAGTTTTAGTATTAAAAGAATATCATCATAGAATAAAATATTTAAAAATGTTAAAAATAAAATCTAAAATGAAAGATTAAAATTATATTACTACTCGTATTAAACTACGTAATAATGTAGTCCATAAATTATATTTTGTTAGACTTTTTCAAATACTATTTGAATAATTATGAGAAATTAAATTTATTTTTTACTGTTTTAAATTGCACATATATAAAAAATCTCCCGGGGCGCTGCCCCGACCCCCGTGTTATTTTGGTGATTGCGCCCCCAACAACTTAGATTCCTAGATCCGCCACTGCTTGAAACTGATGTATAGGTATTCTTTTTGTTCTTTTTCCGATGTGGGACGGAACTCTTAATTGAATGTAAATGATATTTCCAAAACACAAAAAAGAAAAAGTACGTGGAAATATACCACCAAAAGTTAATAGTCACGCCGTTTAGAATAGGCCGGGTTGAACCGACATGATTAGATTTTATAGTGTTACTGGGATTAATGTTTCTCTATCTCCTATAAATAGAGATGCAATCTCTTTTAGAATAATCGATCAAGAACAATACCAAACTTTACCTCCTCTCTTTTCTCTTGAAGCCCGAAAATGCTCAAAATTTTTCATCTCTTTCTTTGCCTCCATTTTGTGGAGCTTGAAAATGTTCAAAACTCTTCTCCATCCAATAAAATATTCGTATGAATAGGTGCTTTGATGGCCAACTGCTCTGTCATGGGCAATGGTCCCTCTAGCCCCCAATTCAAGCTCACACAATAGCCACCAACACTAAATTAAACTTGACCACTCGTGGCATCTAAGCTGTGGTGCTTCTCATCATATATGCCACACCGGAACTTTTTGCTCTCAGTTTTTGCAGTTTTGTCATGCGCAAAACTAATTATGTATCTTCTGTTGAATTCTTTCATGTGTGAAAGACACTCAAACGAAGATGTCTTTACTTGGGGGACCAAATTAAACCACCATGGATCTCTACACTCTTTGCTCTGTTAGTTCAAGCCTGATCTGCGGTGCACCTGCCACATGTATAACGGAGAGGGTTTTTATATTAAACCGGTGCCTCTAGTCAATCAATTTGGGATATGATTTCACATTCTACCACTCCCCCGCATCAGAACATAATCATATGACACTATTGAACAACGCCATCGTCACATTGTAGAAACTAGAATGTTTCTTCTTCTTGTTTTTATTTGGTCTTCTTCTGACATTTTGGACAATAGTGTATCTAACTAGCCACATGCCTACACTTGTCCTGAATAACACCGTACATATCTGAAATCTTTAAACATGAACTCTGGAATATTCGTAGATATACCAAATCTCAATGTTCCATTACATATCCGAAAGCTAAAACACGAGATCAGATATTCATTTTTGATGAACTCTTTGGATTAGACATATTTGAACAGCAACACCTAGCTAGTCTAATCCTTGTGCTCATGCTTAAAAGGAGGGGATCGACTCAAGGGTGTAAATATATAGACTCACATGCATATAGGCTTGTCAATGGGTCAGGTATATACCCGAACCCGTATAATATCCGTAATTTTTTAGCGGGTTTAAGAGTATAAATATACCGTTTGCCCGTACCTGTACCCGTTATTTTAAAAAAAGAAAGTGTTGGGTATAGGACGAGTAGTCCCGACTCGTTTAAAACCCGTACCGGTTAAATATATATTACGTACATAATATTAAATATTACAAAACTCTACCTCTCTTCTTCACTACTCATCTTCTTCGCTGGTTGTGTGGCTTCCTGTTAGGATATTAATTTAATATTTCCAAAGATTTGTGAGATGGAAAATTCTAGAGAATTCTAGAAGTTTATGGAGATGTGTAGAATTCTCTAGAATGTTGTGGAATTTTCTAGAGAAGTGTAGAAGTCTCTAGAAATGTGTAGAATAGCCTAAAAGTTTCTAGAATATTCTAGAGCTTTCTAGAGAAGTGTGGAAGTCTCTAGAAGCGTGTGGAAGAATGTAGTATTCTCTAGAATATTCTAGAACTATGTGGAGTCCTCTAGATTCTTCTAGAACATTATGGAAGCATGTGGAGACTTTCTAGAAGATTCTAGAGATAAAGAAATGTGTAGAACATTCTAGAAAAGCCTAGCCTT